CCATACTCCCAGAAGCTGGGAGCGCAGGCCATTGGGGTTTCTGTGCGTGCATGCAGGAAGGTTATTCTGAGTGGGAATTGAGAGAGAGAGAGAGAGAGAGAGAGAGAGAGCTGTGCAGGCAGAGAGGGAGACAGAGAGAAAGAGAGAGAGAGAGAGAGAAAGACCGATATATACATATATATATATATATATATACACACAAGACTGCAGTGGCGCTTCGCGCCATGCACCTTTGTCCTTGAAGTTTGGTATGCAGGCGGAATGGCAGGAAGGTCAAGCCGACAATATAGCGATAACTCCTTGTTGCCGTTTCCAGCATCGCCGCTAAAATGATATTATTCGTTATCCTTCCTCCATGCTTCTTTTTCCTCGTTCCCGCCATACCCTTCGCATTTTCCCCATCCTCCTCAGCTCTTTTTGCGGAGGCTCCTCCTTGGAGAGCTTCTGGAGAGCCTTCTGGAGGAGGTTCTGGGGGCTTCCTCGGGCCACCCTGCCTCCATCCGCGGTCTCCCTGAACGACTGGATCACGATTTGGAATGCTAGGGTGTCTTGGGGCCGTCTTGGGCCGCCATGGGGCTCTCTTAGGGCCATCTTTGACCCCTGTTGTTCCAGTTTTCGGGCTCTCTTGGACTGCCTGGAAGCCCTTTCGGATGGTTGTGGGGCGATTTTGGAGCCTCCCAGGCGGCTTCGGACGTCCAGAAGACTGCCGTATTGGAGCGTCGGGAAGCCGAAAAGAGGAGAACCCCAACATTAACCAAAAACCATCAGAAAATAAATCATTTTTGCCTATTGGGGCCTTCTTGGGAGCTCTTGGAGGCTTTTTGAGGCCTTTGGGACCGTCCTGGAGGCCTCTTGGGCCATCTTGAGGTCACGTCGGTCACTCTTGGAGCGCTCTTGTGCTGTCTTGGGGGTCTCTGGGACTTCTCCGATGACCCCCCTGATCGCCCTAGGTGTGCTGGGAAGGCTTGGCAAAACGCCCTGCGAGGCCCGGGGGGCCGCTTCGAGGCCCGTCCGGAGGGTCCCAAAGCCCCAGATCCCGGGAGTCCGGTTTTGGGGGGGGGGGGGGTCCCACCGTCCGGGCTAAACATGTAGGTTCTCTCTCTCTCTCTCTCTCTCTCTCTCTATATATATATATACGTATATATATATGTGTGTGTAGATCATCTCGTGGCTCTGAGCGCTGCTTGGGACGAGACGGCGATCCCGCCAGGACAGCACGCGGCCAGGCGCAGCCGCCAGCAGGGGCGACACATTCTCCTCCGAGCTGCCTCCGCATTCCAATTGGAAGTTCCGAGCGGAGGCACAGGGAGCCAACGGTCGACAAACCAGCACACGAGCCAGCCGATCGAATGCCCCCCCACCCACAATTGTGCGCGTCAGGCCTCTGAGATGGCCCGCCGTCGCACGGGAGCGAGGGCTCGCATCCCCTTCCTCGGTGGAGGAACAGGTACTCGTACTTCTGCCCTTCCCTCGTTTTCCCCTATTTGGGCCTCCTGGGCGGCCTCGAAATCCTGCTCAGAAGTTTTCCCCTTTTTGGGCCTCCTGGGCGGCCTCGAAGTCCTGCTCAGAACGCACCCCGGGAGGGGTCCGAGGAGTGGCGGCATCGGTATCTCTTGGTCTCCCTGCTTCCAGGTGCTGCTCTCCATCCCAGCCAACGTCCGCTGCTTGGTGCCCTTTCCTCCTCCACGTGCACGACCTGCCAGGCTTCGGGCTGCGTGGCGACGGCCCTCCCCAGTGGGCCAGGTAGTCTTGGCTAGGGGACCACGTGCGAA